GCTAACCCTCCCACCAGAATCTCACCCAGGACCACTCCCAGACAAAAATAAGAACATGAGTTGCTTCCAACTTCATATAGGTTTCTGGCGTCAAAGGCAACCTCTGGGCCAGAGAGTGCAACTCAGGGCCTCCAGGGGTGAACCAGCTGCTTTTCCTGGGATGAGCTGTCCACACGCATAGGAGGATGCCATGTGCATGTAAGCAGGCTGAGTGGAAGCCCTTGTGGTCAGCTGTCCAGGGACAGGCTACTGTGCTGCCACAGATAAATAAGGGGAAAGCCAGGTGATTGGCTTGGGGGCCTCCCAGAGGTGCTGATACCTGGAACTGCTCTCTTATGTCTATGTAGGTGTTTACCAGCTTGTTCAAAAATCCCTAGGGAGCAAATCAAACATGGAGTGGAACCCAATTTACTGTGTTTCAGAGACGTTTTGTTTTGGGGTGCTGGGTTGTTGAGGTGCTATGGTGGCCTCCTGGCCTTCACACTGACTTATAGCCAAGCCTTTATTTTTTATTTTGAAATGGGGTCTCAGTCAGTAGCTTTTCCAGCCTTGGCCCAAACTCTCAGCCCCCTGCCTCCACCTTCCAGAGTGCTGCGGTTACAAGCGTGAGAGTGCTCTAGCGCCTCTCAGAGGAAGCATGACTTGTCCTGGTGCTGAGGTGGGAGATCTCTCCCAAGGTCCTCATCACTTCACTTAGAATAGGGCTCCAAGGGGAGCAATCAAACTCACAATCATAGCAGCTGAATCAGTAGGCTTTTCTGTCTGAGTCCGTGGAGAAATGCCCTCTTCTGGGTGCGTATTGTTAACTCGGGTCTTTGGCACTGAGTCACCAGCCAAGATGATGGCCCCTCGCTCTTTAAAGCTACTTCATGGAAGTTGTGGATACCCCTGGCTGGATCCTAGCTATGTGGCCACACCACAGAAAAAACTTAAAAAAATCAAGTCTTTCTTCCAGGAGTGGGCAAAAGTGGAAGTTCTGATTACTAGACAGAAGGGCAGTGTCCTTGCTGGCTGAACCACCATCACGGACTATCACAGAGCGGGTGGCTCAGGGCACAGATTTAGTTTCTCACACTGTAGAGGCCTTAAGTCCAAGGTGGTATGACACCTAGCTTCCTCTGAGGCCTTTCTGGTTTGCAGGCAGCTGTATTCTTGCTGTCTTCACCTCATGTGGCCTTTCTCTGTGCCGCTGTGACCCTTGGCTTCTCTCTGTGTCCTCATCTCCACTTATAAGGACACTAGTCAGAGTGCTCGGGACCCCACCCTGATGGCCGCACTTGAAGTTAATTATCCCACTAGGAGACCATCTCCAAATGCAGTCACATTCCGAAGGGCTGGGGGTTAGGGCCTTGACATACGAATTTAAGAGAGCGGGGAAACAATTAGTGCATACTAGGCAGAAGTAGCCAGCAGGGGCTGCTTTGCTTGCTATCCTCTTCCCAGCCCACCATGGACTGCTTCTCCTCTGTGATGCCCCTCTGCCCTGCCACCCTTTCTTTTTATTTTATTTTATTTTGTATTTTAGGGCAGGGTTTACAGGGTCTACAGGGTCTCACTACATAGATTGGATTCAAAGTGATCCTCCTGTTTTTTGTTTTTAGCTTTTTGTTTGGGTGGAACCGGAGATTGAATTCAGGCCCTTGCGCTTGCCAGGCAAGCGTTTATTCTACTGAGCCATCTTCCTGGCCTGATCATCCTGTTTACAGCCTCCCAAAGCAGACACTTTAGGTCTTCCCTCCTTTAAACAAACAAACAAAAAAAAGAACAATAGGAAATGCATCTTCATATACCTCCCTGCATCCCGAAAGGTAGATCGCTCATAAATTCTTTAGAGTCATCTCATTTTAAATCCAAGAACCCATGAAAGCAACAGTCCCAGAATTTAGCAGATGGCGTTGCACCTAGAGGTGATCAGTAAAGGCTTATGGACGATGATGTGGCTGGCCAGGAAAGCACAGCCGGGGAGGAAGCAGGGTTCCTGAGTCTCCGCCACCTACTCCTCCCACCAGGCTGTAAGGTTTGACGAGCACCACACCACCCACCACATGAAAACCTAGACCCGTGGTTTTCATCTGATTATCCAAACCAAAGATTACAAGGCCCTAAAGCAGTTGTCCCTGGCTTTTTGCATAACTGCAGGCCTTTGCGGGGACCAGGCAGGCATCAAGCCGTTTTAAAGTCGTTTGAATTGTTCTGTGCTCCAGCTGTACCCAGCCCGCTCCATTTTGTTCTGTTTTGTTTTCTATAGACACTTCCCAAGCTGCAGGAGGTAAGAAAGGGCTGTTGCAAGGTCAAAGCCAGCAAGCCACAACTCCTGGAAAAATTAGGAAACCAGTGTGCGATGTCTGTAGCCGCTTCCCTGGGGCCAAGACCGATGAGTGTACTGCAACGGAGCCGGGGCAAGGCAGGCCTGGCTGGGAGGGATGCTTTTTTCTCTCGCATCTCTAACCAGCTTGCAAACTGTTGCCCATTGAGCAAGACTTGACCTGGCAAGGAGACAGAGAAGTTCTCCCCAAGTGTGCTGACAGCCGTGTCCTGGGGCAGCACCGAGGCCCAGCCCGGGGCTCTAGGCTCCCGGCTTCCCTCAGAGAAGCCCCCGCGCCGACACAGAGCCCATTTGTGTGGCCCAGGCCGGGTCTCTTCTCTGAGGCTGCTTCTGCCCTAGCAAGAGCCACCTCAGATGCAACTTTTGGAAGCCTCACACAGCTAATGATTTGCATTGGGCAGTGTGTGTTTAGAGCTTATGCATGTACACAGACAGTTATTTTTTGCTGTTCACTGTGGCACTGCCTGCCTGGTGACTTCAGCAGATGGAGAAAGGAGCTAATCCGTAGGTTATAAGCAGAAGGGTTATTGATGAAATGTCACCATCTGTTGGTGTCATTAAAATGATATGAGCCATAAAGAGTTGCCTTTGTTTTTGTTTTGGGGGGGGGTCCTCAAAAAAAGGTTAGCTTAGAGATTATAGAAAAGTTGCCATATTACAGATGGCAGAAGGGACAGATGAAGGAGAAGGAGGCCACCTGGGAAGGAGAGGAGCTGCTGACTCTCAGAGCAGCTTGCTGGAACTCCAGGGAGGTGGGGGTCTGCAGGGATAGAACCACCTCTTCCTGTGAGACAGGTGCCTGCCAGACAGCTTCGTGTCTCAGCTCTCCTGGGCCACTTCCAGGTCCTCTGCAGGGGTGGCAGTGGGGAGTGACTCACTGGAGTCAGAAGGCCAGACCGTATCTGGAAGGGAACAGTCACGATGCACGTGTCTCCTTAACCGCCTTGGCCCCCTGACCCATAGATCATTCTTGTGTCCGCTGACATCTTGGGATGCAAGCGAGCCCAGAGGGAACGAGTGATTTTCTCTGTTGCTTCTCCTCCGAGGAGTTGGAGGTGCCTGGAACAAGTACCAGAGCCTGCACGCACGCACGCACGCCGGCTTCCATGGGGTTGGGGTCTCCAGCTGGAGGAAGAGGGCGCGGAAGGACCAGCGCTGCCCGGGATTCGCAGAGGCCCGGGCCTGTGAGGCGTGCATCTAATCTAGTGAGGACCAGGGCCGAAGCACTCGGCCTGCCTCCTAGTCCGGCTTGTTTAGCAGGCCTCTAAATTTCAGCCGATTTGCAGTTAATCAACCCTCTTACCCACTGCCGAGGACACTCACACTTGACACAGACGAGCGTGTTGGTACCCGCCTCTTCCACTATGGCCTCAGACCCCCTTCTTAATCTTCGGCTTAGTTTTAATTTTAGCTCTTCACTCCTGGAGAAAGATGAAGAATGAGTGATGTGTGAACCACTGCAGATCTTCTGTCCGCCCCTCCGTTTGCCAGATACAGCGCTGCTTCGAGTCGGGCTCCGTCCAGCCTGGCCTCCACCGTCGGGCCGCAGTCCCCCTCCCGCCGCCCCGCACACCCCCCTTGGGGTGCACACCCCCTTGCGGCCCCCGCCCCCGCCCCCGTGTGGCGCGAGCTGTGCTGAAGGCGTGGGCAGGCACGGCGCTTCCGGAAGCCCGGGCGGACTCTTTCCACGTCTCTAGAGGGGACCTTGCTGGCAAAGTTGCTGTTGGTATTTTTAGATCTAATGCTCTGCCTGCTGCTCAACTTTCATTTTAAATGAGAAGCGAGGGGAGTGAGCGGGAGGGGAGTGAGCGGCCGGGTCGCCGTGCTGCCCCGGACGTCAGCGGGCCCATCCACAGGCTGCGGCTGTCCTGCTGGGCCCAGAGAGCCGTCTCTTTCTGCTCAGCGGTGGCTAGCGAATAAAACCCTGGCGGCGGGTGGCTGGAAGGCGCGTCAGGGACCCTGCTCAGGGTCAGCGTCTTGCTCAACTTCAGCCATATGCTCCTCTGGGCATTGAGGAATGTGTTTTTGCATAATAAGCCTTTGGCTGTAAGTAAAATAGTTTAAAATTCAACAAGCTGATAAAGCAGGTTAAAAACACATACCCACGCAAAAAAAAAAAAAAAAAGACCTATTCCTGGGCCAGAAGGAGGGAGTACAGTCCTCTCCAGATTATTACAGAATTGTTTCTGCAGTGATTTTTTCACTTTCCTGCCAAAAATCAACACTCTACAGAAAAAGAAAGAAAAGAGAGCTTCCATTTGATCAGCGCGCTCCCTCCCAAGAATCCTAAGCCCCAGGTACGGTCCTCGGGGAGGCAAAGGACGAGACAGGGCTGCTCGCTGTAGCTCTGCACATACAGTTTCTCCTAAGTTAATGGGTGGCAGCCACAGCCCATACTGAATAGCCAGTTGACAAGAGTGACAGGCTGTAGGGTGTTCAGGGAGACAGAAGAAACTTCCTCAGTGCTCACGGCTGGCTGGGCAGCTTCCTGCTCGGCCTGGCCCTGGTAGGGTGGGCAGGCACCTCTTGTGACCCGCGCAGCCCGCATGGATCGCCTGTGAGGCCAGGAACGGGGCTAATGTGTCCGGGGCTTCCAGCCCCGGCCCCGTGGTCTTCCTGCCCAGCGTGTGTCACTGTTTTCACTGTTGTGTTGTCCTTGTTCTCTGCTCTGCAGCAGGCCACAGAGACAGCTGAGGAGGAGGACGACCAGCCCCTCAGCCTGGCCTGGCCGTCCAACACCCGTAAGCAGGTCACATTCCTGATCGTCTTCCCCATAGTGTTTCCTCTGTGGATCACCTTACCTGATGTTCGCAAGCCTGTAAGTAAAGTATTTTTGAAATACTTGTAAAAGTACGGTTCCCTACATAGTCTGCTTCTGTTTGCATAAAGGGGAAGGGAGAGGTGACAAGGAAGCCTGGGCATTCTACGCCTGAAATTTCTGTGGTCACATGATTCTACTGGTTGTCCATACTGCGTGACAAACTGCCTACATGGCATGCAGCAACCATGGATCCTGCAGATAGGAAGAGGGGAGAACACAGTGCACATGGGTGGTCCCACAGTGTTTGGGACCTCAGCTGGGAAGACTTGAAAGACTGGGGGTGACTCTTAGCTAGAGCTGCAGCCATCTGGAGGGCTCAGAACCTGAGCAAGAGTGATTTGGATGCTGGGCTTGTCTACTGCTGCACCTCCATGTGGCCTCTTCATGTCACTTGGGCTTCCTCGTAGCATGGTGTCCTCAGGACTGTCAGATTCTTACATGAGCGGTCAGGGTTCCAAGAGTCTTTTGGTGGAAAAAAAGGAGAGGCTGCATGGTCTTGATATCCTAGTGTTTCAGAGTCACTTCTGCTCTTCTCTACTGGCCAATGCAGTCATAAGTCCACATGATTAAAGTAGAGAAAAAAATTTACATAGAATATATCATGTCACATAGCGTATGACTGTCTTGGTGGCATGTGTATCAAACAATTTGCAACCACATTTTAAAGCTATCACAGTGATTATCTGTGAGAAGAACTAAAGATCTACACAGGACAAATTCCTTGAATTTTCTTTGGCTATATGCATGGATTATTCTCTTAATTTAAAGAAATGCGTTTGTGTAGAGAAAAGGCCTGTATGTCTTATCTTCTCCCTGCTGCTTTGTATCCCTACTGCAGTCAGTACTATCTGCCCTTATTGGGCACAGGTGCTATAAATGCAGTACCGCCCTACAAGCAGCAGATACATCCTGAATGTAGATTAATCAAGAAGGCAACCCTTTCCAGTGCTGTGGAACTGCATTCTAAAGCCTTGTATTAATTCTTATGCTGGAGAAGAAAGAGCTAATGAGAGCAAAGGGAGAGGCAGCTCTGCTTTGCAGGATACCCCTACACACAAACAAAACACACATACACACACACACACATACAGCAGAAGCAAATACTACTTGTATGTCCAATTTCACACTAGGTATTTTCAATAAGCTATACCATAGGATCTCAGGAAATATCTAATGCTTAAATATACCTACTATTGGCATAAGTAGAAAGAAAGCTAGGGAGGCCGGGGAGATGGCTCAGTGGAATAACCTCTTCCCTGGCAAACACAAGGACCTGAGTTCAATCCCCAGTTCTGCCAAAAAAAAAAAAAAAAAAAAGAAAGAAAAAGGAAAAGAAAGAAAGGTACAAAGAAGTTAGCTAACTTACACCTGCTCACATTCCAGAGGATGGAGCAGAGATTCAGTCCTGGGGCAGTGACTTCATATTTCCTGATACCAAAAGGGGGACATTTTTTTAAAAATCATTTTTAAAGCATTTGTAAGAGAATGTTATGATAATATCTATCATAATTTAACCTAAGCCTTCAAGAGACCACAGATGAGCCTCCATCCTCATTTGGAAAAAATAAAAAAACAGGGGAAAAATCACATCCTATTAGCCTGGCCTATATATAAGTAATTCAGCCAGGTAGAGAGCCATTTAGAAATCAGGAAGGACCCCTTGGGGAAGAATTCCTAAAATTAGAGATTTTTCCTGTAAAGGTTGCATATAACCGGTGTGGGTAAATTAATACAATATTTAGGGCAGCACATCTGCTCTGTGCAAAGCTGTGGCCTGCTGAAAACCCTACAAACTCCCGCTCGCTCGTGCTCTCTCGCTCTCACTCTTTCACAATCTCCCTCTGTCTCTCATTCTCTCTTTGTCTCTCTACTTCTTGCGCTCGCTCT